AACAGGAATTTGATCAGGATTCAAGTCATTCAATCATTCAAACCTCAATCGAATATAATCAACTCATAGAATCAGTACTTGGGTTCATACAATCAAACCTAACATAAAAATCTAGGGTTCTCCATACCCAGATGAATGGGAGAACTACTCCATAGAGAAAGAAGCAAAAGTAGAATCAGACGCGGAATTCATACTGTGAAGGATGGATTCCTGCTTCTGGATGTTGATCGGCACTTCTCCAAGCTCAAGCTGGCCTCCAATGGTGTTGAAGATCAATCTAGGGCACTTGGAGACTCTTGTTCGTCGCTTTCTCTCTCTAGGAACTGATCTCTCTCTCTAAAACTCGAATCCCCTTCTGTTTGGCTGAAAATCTGCTTACAAAGGCATCAGTGGGCAAAGCACGGTCGAGGGCACGGCCGTGCTTTGCCTGAGTCCGCCCGTGTCTCGGCCAAGGTTAATTACACGGCCAGCAGTTGGGAGGAAACACGGCCGTGCTTCGCGTTGGATACGGTCGTGTAATGATTGAACCCGGCCGTGCTTTGTCTCGGCCCTGCCCGTGTAATCAGCTCAGCTCTCGGCATAAAAAGCACGGCCACAGGAACACGGCCGTGTAATGCCTTAGGTGTGCTCGTGTTTTGGCCCCAGCTTGACGAAATGACCTCCGAATGCCCCGAAACTCGTGGTTAGCCTTCCCTTTGACGCCTGGGACCTGAAATATGACAAAACAGCACAACCCGGCGTAAAATAGGCCAAAACACACGACTATACCCCTCAAACGGATAAGAACTAGGGGCGCAAACATGTGCAATTACATCGTTATCAAGAACTCAACTGAAGCCCCCTGAACATTCTCATCCACCTCACCAATCAAATGAGTATAAAAATCTACTGCAACTCTCCCCATTTGAGACACATCAGTTACATATGAACCCTGTGCATCCTTTAGGTTAGTGATCTGCTACTTATGAGTTCTAATATGCAATGAACAATGAAAGAAGGAGGTATTCATATCCCCATTTTGAACCCACTGTGCCCAAGATTTCTGATGGAAAAACTGCTCTTCTGCTTTTTGAACCTCCTAACATCGCTTAGCCAAAGCCGCCTCTTCCTCAATGTTACCAGAGTTAGGATTAGCCAACACCTCATACTGAAGAGTCTCTAACTGTTTTTCAAGATCTCTTGCCTGCCCTGAAATATCCCAGTACACCTCTTCATTAAGCTTTTTAAGCTTAGCCCTTACTTCCCACAACTTGCCATGAAAGACATAGTGCGGGAATCCCTCATTCTGAATAATCCAAGCTTCAGCAACCAAATCAAAATAAAAAGGGTGGGAACTCCAAAATTTGAAGTACTTAAACGGCTTTGGTAGAGTAGCCTTGCGGGTTAGCGTGAAGAACAAGCCCAAAATGATCAGATATCCCTGGAGGAGACGTCCGTGCTATAATAGAAGGGAAGGACACCAAGAACGCTTCATTAACAAATACTCTGTCAATACGTTTAGCAATAGTGTTCAACTTCTGCTTGTTCCACCAAGTAAACCAAGCTCCCAAAACTTTATGACTAACCAGCTGCATTCTGTCAATCCAAGCTCGAAATTCAAGCATACTATGACTAATATCCACTGCATTAGAAGAGTCTATAGGGTCAGTAATCTCATTAAAATCGCCCAACACCGCAAAAGGAATGTTAGTTTCCTTATGAAATTGAAGCTCTCTGTACATCACACTTATATCCTTCTCCTCATTAGGACCATAGACAAACATCAGATTTGCTTGCTGCTGACCCTCCACCTGAACTTTCAGAAAATGCTCCCCTTCATCTACTTTCTTCACCTTCAAACATGGTTTCCATAAGAGCCACACACGACCAGAGGTAGACTTACTATAGTTATCCGCATATGTCCATGAAGTAAAGGACTTATTCGCTATCTTTTTACTATTATCCTTAGTTTCTCGAGTTTCTAATATAGCAGCTATATCTATATTCAACTGTCCCAACTTTCGAAGAACAGCTGAATGATTCCCTGATATTCCATCTCAAAATATTCATTTACCTCGCTTCTTGCCCCTACATCTACCCCGGGGAGGAGGAGGAGAAGGGGCCTTCTACATTGTCTTGGAGCTCTGCAAACTTGGGAAATTAGTGGCATCCAGGACTGGTTGTCTGCGAACTCCAGATGATGATGCTTGAGTATGATTAGATTTCCACTTTCTATTCTCAACAAGGTGAACCCTCCTCATCCACCACCGCCTTAACAGCAGTAGCAGGTGGTGTGTTATCCTGGTTAGTCTCCACTACAGGAACAACTGCAACCAGGGCTGAGTCTTCCATACTAGGAGAAGCTACTGCTGAATTAACCGTCGCCTCATGGGTAGTACCAGACCCACTGGGAATATCGGCATTATCTATATCAAAGGAGAAAATTAACATCATCTACGAAATCAATTTTTTATATCAATATTTTCAATAGTTTAAGAACCTTGTGAGCTATTGAGCTGTGATTCTATGAATTCGTGAGCTATGTTCTTGACATTTAGGGTTGAGTAAGTTATTAATCATTTTAGCTGAAGTGAGAAAGTGTTGTAGATTATTATTTCATTCATCATGTTGTGCAAATAAATATTTTCTTCCAACGTCTAGGCACTCTTAATCTACGCCTAAGCGAGCTAGGCGATAGACAAAGGCTCAATGCTCGTTTTACGCCTAGCGCCTTTTTGAACCTCGATCAAAATATAATTTTTTTTATGGAACAATAACCTCATTTTACGTTTATATATATATTTATAATAATAATAATAATAATAATATTGTCATTAGTGGGGTAGTAAGGATTTCAATTGAAGTGAGTTTGAATTGAAAAAATATAACATGACACCTTTTAAGTTTTTAGAAATATCTTGATGTATTTTTATATTTCAAAAAATTTCAAAATACATTTAATATCTTTAAAATTGAGAGGATAGAAGAAATTTGTTGATTTAGGGATATGAGATCACAGTTGAGAATAACAATTATAGAAGTGGTAACACTGAATTTGTACATGTTTTTACCCCTCATTTCTTGATTGTTTAACTTGATGTTTATCATATGTTTGCCTATTTTACGCTAGGTTGTGTTTTTTTGTCACATTTCAGGTGCTAGCATGTAAAATGAAGCATAGACGCATTTCAAATAAATTGGAGATCAATTGGCTACTCGGGGTTTAGAAACTCTGGTATGACCCAAGGAAGAATGGATTTATAACTCATTTTATGGACAAAGAATCATGTAATCTAAGCATGGAAAGAAAGAGGACGAGACTACGAGAGTCTGGGATCAAATGGCGACTGATTCGGAGTTCGGATGAGGGAGAAATGACTCAAAGACAACAGCCTCTCCAAAGTTACGGGATGGCCTTCAAAGTTACGGTTTAGACCATAACTTTGCCATTTTGGTCGTAGCTGATACAACCCTGGGGGGTGTACGTTATCAAAGTAACGCAACAAACAATCAATCCGAAGATTGATTGAACTCGAATCAAGAACACCGTGTTCTTAATACGAAATTGGGATAAAACAGAACCAACGGACAATTCCACACCTGGGGAAAGCTTGTATGGTATAGAAGGGTAGTTGCTCGCCCACGATTAAAGGGACTATGCAATCGATACAAAGCTCACAAGCTTGGAATCCACCAAACTCACACAAGTTCACAAACTTGCACAAAAACCAAAGGTTTCTTTTCAATTAATCATAGTCTAAGTTTTTACAATGAAAATAGAATGCTATTTAATTCGATTATGTTATCAAAGTAATGCAACAACCAATTAATTCGAAGATTGATTGAACTCGAATCAAGAACAACGCGTTCTTAATAAGAAATTGGGATAAAATGGAACCAACGGACAATTCCACACCTAGGGAAAGCTCGTATGGTATAGAAGGGTAGTTGTTCGACCATGATTGAAGGGACTATTCAATCGATACAAAGCTCACAAGCTTGGAATCCACCAAACTTGCACAAAAACCAAAGATTTCTTTTCAAATAATCAAAGTCTAAGTTTTTACAACAAAAATAGAAGGCTATTTATAGCGAAGAAGACCTAATACAAATCTAAATGAGAAGGAAACAAATAAGGTAAAATTCTACTCTAAAAAGGTTACAACATTCGGACCCAAACTTCCTTTCTTGAAGCACAAGTAAGCTGCCAAGAAACAGTCCAAAAGTAGCTTTCGTACTAACTTCACGCCTTTCGTTCGAGGCCTTCCAGAACTCTAATCCTTCATCCAGTTCCTTCCCTTCGTAGATAAACATACCTATTTTCATGTTGTGGAAGCCTTTGGAGTTGAATCAGATCCATGCTCCTCGAATGGAGCTCCAAAGTAGGCTTCACAAACACGTTTCCAGACAACCATTTTCTGGCAGGTTTCCGGTTTTGAGGTAGCAACTTTGAGGCTTTGGAAAACAACCTTAATAACTTCTTCTGGATCCAAAAACCATTCAATCTTGTAGTGGGACACTTAGTATTTAAAACAAACTTCTAATTTTGAATTTCGACAAGCCAATTGAGAGAACCATGCCACCAAAGTAGGTACCATGAACTCGGAAAATGACAGCCAAATCTTGTCCTTCTTCTTCCCAACTTTGATAGCTTCTTCGGAAAGTAATAAAAATATGTAGAGTTGGCCATATAGGATCATATCAGTAATTGGGGCCACGGGAAGCATAATACATTACAAAAATTACGGTCGTAACTTGGGGTCGTAACATGGCTTCTGTGAGCTATATAAATGCGTTTTTGCGGATTCTGAAGGGGAAGAGCTTGGTTTTGGATCCCAAACATCCAAGGGATGAACCCTAGAGAGAGATCACCTTGGGATCATTCTTGGGGCTATTTTGGAGTATTTCTTCACCATTGGAACTCGAGAACAATGGTGGCCACCCCCGGGCCACGGCTGAGCCGTCTCCTGGATCTGGAGTTAGAATAGCCCTTATAAATTTCTGATTTTAAGTATTCGTTTATGTTCTCGTTGGGTTATATCCCAGTTCTCTCTACCTCTTTTCAAATGTGGCCAAGTGCTATACCCTAGACTGGATCCGCCGATGCTCGAGAATCAAGTTTGGAGATGGAGATTGAAGATCTAGATCAGATTTCTGCACTCTCTCTCCTCTATCGAGTAACTTCCATTCACTTAGGTTTTGAGGAACCCTAGTCATGTTTGTTTGATTGGATGATTGTATGAGTAATCCTACTTGATAATCTTGAGTTCATTCAATCAGTGCATGTTTTCATAATTCAATTATGCTTTAGTCGAGATTATTGATTCTGCTTTGATCCTATGAGAGCGAATACCTGATTAGGTCAATAGAGCACCATAGATTGATAGTACTGGATCGATTGCCTTAGTCGAGGGTCGATTCACTTCTTTGTATTGATTGAGAACCCCTTTCGATAGAGGGAGTCTAGTTCAGAACGCCTTGATCAGTTGTTCTAGAGAAGGATACGTCCCTCTAGGCAATCGATTCAAGAGGGCATTGACTTCCTTAGTCGAGATACAAGGTCTAGTAAAGGATTCTCCGCATTGTGAATGAAAGTAAAACAAGTTAGAGATCGTTTATAATTAATCTGGCTAGTGATTAGGGGGAATCATACCTAAGTGAGTTCCCAACCTGTAATTAGATTAACTTTAACCGTAGTTTGCAAAAGTAGTTATAGTGCTTCTATCTTTATCTGGTTTGCTAGATAATGAACTGAAGCTGAGTAATGGTAACTCTAGAGACCCGTTGATTCGATGTTTATTACTTGTACCACTATACTGCTGTCCCTTTCATTGGTTACACTTCTCCATTGTTAGGAGTTGTATTGTAGCGAGTCAAGTTTTTGCCGCCGTGGCTGGGTACCTTCTAGATTATTAGGAAAGGCAGATCCGAAACATGGATCTTCATGGATTCTCCAACCATTGGGGGTATCCACCACCACCCGAGTGGTAATATCCCGAGACTTCCTTGAGAAATCAAGGAGGGGAAGACTATGGAATCGGGTTTCAGTACCAACTCTCCTACTACGAAGAAAAACCATACCCTTGGGAACCTCAATAACAATATCCTTATCAAGAAGAATTTCTCCCATAGCCAGAAGGGTCGTCAGAGCAGGAGGTAGCCATGGCGGCCTTCACAGGCCATTGTGCAGAGCCATGCTACACTCCATTAGAAGACCCGAATAAAAATTGAGTCTTCTTGTGGACCAGTTTTCTCAAGACACTGAGAGATCATACTTTAAGATGGATCTTTATATCCAGGCCATCGAATAAACTCAGTTCACCTACCGTGAAACAGAGGGACCATCCTGAGCATAAAGAAGCACATAGAGGTCATTGAGAAAGATTATGCACAGTTCGATCAAGACAACCCTTATGCTATAATACAAGTAGAGGAGGAGGAAGAAGAATCCAATCATGAGGATGTTGAGGAGCATACATAAGTTGTCACCGAGAGCTCCCGTGATAATCATGATCAGGAATGTCCTCTGGTGTCAGATCACACCTTTCCCCATGTATTCTATGCCATGATGGGTCCGAGCAAGGAGATGCAAGATGATCTCATGAAAGAAATTGCTTGGCGACTTCCTCTCCAATCTGTGCTAGAAGTAAAAGAGCGAGAAAGGATGTGGAAAGAAGTTTTAGTGGATGACGGAAGTGAATTAGAGGAATTTCTTGATCGTTTCCAATGGGTGCAATCAAATTCCAAGGAAGGAAGGGGGGTTGAAGAAGCAATTGGTTTCCAGGCTGAGGACAAAGTTGAGGTGGAAGAGGCTTGCACCGGCCATGTGTTACAGGTGATATCTCCACCAAACTTCGAGGAACTGTTTGGCAAAAACCCATTTGCAGTGACTCTTTACCAGACCAAGACCACATCTATAGTGGTCCCTCTAGGTGGAAGCGATGGTGGTCAAACAATGCTGTCATATCATGGTTGGGGCAATTAGACAAGAGAACAAACGAAGGAGAGGTCTCGTGTGTGGAGACTGCATCTTCCTCGAGTGCACAAGCCATCTTTATCACCTATCATACCACCTGCTCGTGACTTGAGACTCCACCTCATCGACAAGAACCTCAACTTCAAGGAGGTTTTGGGGTGGACTGAAACTTAGGAAGCATCGTACGACTCACGACATGAAAGAAGCGCTTGTTGTGTAACAACCCAACTAGTCGGTTTGCATTTCTTTCCCTATTTCTCTTTGGTTGAGTCAGTTCTGTTCTTTGATTTTAGATTCAATAACTTAACCTCTGTGAGATTATGCATGGTGTTTGTGTTCTGAATGATCTCCCTGCTCACCTAGAATGCACCGCTTGGCTCGTCCACCATCATTCACACTTGATTTGGTAACATTGTTCTACCCTCTTTATCCTTTCTCCATTGAGGAAATGTCGTGCTTACATGTGGGGGTGTTCCATTATGTTTGTGTGTGAATGTTTGGTTGTATGTGTGTTCTTGGAGCCTAGTCCACTGTCCAAATTTTAAATTTAAGGGATCCAAGTATGTGTTCCTTTCAATTACCTGCTTAGTATCCTTTGAATTGACAGTCTTTATAGTAATATGCAACCTAGGTAGGTAGTGTAGCACTATGGAGGATGTTGATGTAGGTAAGAAATCTCCTTTCTTCTTCATATTGTGTTGGTTGATTGTGTGAATTAGTGATCTTAGAACACTTGAATTGTGTGGTATGGCTCACTTTCAATCTATCATGGACTCTTGTATTATGTTTTGAAAAAGGTGCTCTAAACTGTGCTTTTAACATAATGTCTCCCGTGTGGAAATCGGTGAAAGTGTGTAAGGGGAGACGGGAATCCGTTCCCAACTTCCACCTACTACCTCCAGCCTCCTTACACCTCTTTCCCCCGCACGAGGCTTGAGACATCTTCTCCCGGCATGGCCGGTAAGAGTCGGGCTCCCTCAAAACCTTTGCTAGGTGGGAGCTCCGTTTTCTACAAATAACAGGTTGGAACCATTGCAAGAAAAAAAAGAGCATTGTATCCACAGATCATTTGTCGTATGATCATTACTTGCATGATCTCGACTCGGGACTCGAGTTCTCACTGAAGAAGATAGGAGCTCCTCTACCAATGATCGGGGTATCATGTTTCTGTAAAGGTCTGGAGAGTTGCATTGGTTTGAGTCAGGTCTACTTGGGGACAAGCAAACGGTTAAGTGTGGGGGAATTTAATAACAGTGAATTTGTACATATTTTTACCCCTCATTTCTTGATTGTTTAGCTTGATGTTTATCATAATTTTGACTATTTTACACTAGGTTGTGTTCCTTTGTCACATTTTAGGTTCTAGCATGTAAAATGAAGCATATGCGCAACTTTCAAATCAATTGGCGACTCGGGAGAAGAAACTCGGGCATGACCCAAGGAATAACGGATTTCTACCTCATTTTATGGACAAATAATCATGTAATCTAGACATGGAAAGAAATAGGACGAGACTACGAGTGTCTGGGATCAAACGGCGACTGATTCAGAGATCGGATGAGCAAGAAATGACTGAAAGACAACAACCTCCAAAGTTACGGGTTGCCCTTCAAAGTTACGGTTCAGACCGTAACTTTGCCATTTTGGCCGTAACTCGGGGCCACGGAAGGCAGAATACATTGCAGAAGTTAAGGCCTGAACCTCAAAGGTTACGATCGTAACTTGGCTTCAGTGAGCTGCATAAGTGCATTTTTGCGGATTCTGAAGGGGGAGAGCTGGATTTTAGATCCCAAACATCCAAGGGACGAACCCTAGAGAGAGAGAACACCTTGGGATTATTCTTGGAGCTATTTTGGAGGATTTCTTCACCATTGGAGCTCGAGAATAAAGCTTGGAGAATGAGATTGAAGATCTAGATCAGATTTCTGCACTCTCTCTTCTTTATGGACTAACTTCCATTCACTTAGGTTTTGAGAAACCCTAGTCATGTTTTTTTATTGGATGATTGTATGAGTACTCCTACTTGATAACCTTGAGTTAATATTCAATCTGTGCATGTTTTCATGATTCAATTATGCTTTAGTCGAGATTATTGATTATGCTTTGATCCTATGAGAGCGAATACTTGATTAGGTCAATAGAGCACCATAGATTGATGGTACTAGATTGATTGCTTTAGTTGAAGGTTGATTCACTGCTTTGTATTGATTGAGAAGCTCATTCAATAGAGGGAATCTAGTTCAGAACGCCTTGATCAGTTGTTCTAGAGAAGGATATGTTCCTCTAGGAAATCGATTCAAGAGGGCCTTGATTTATTTAGTCAAGATTCAAGGTCAAGTAAAGGATTCTCCGCATTGTGAATGAAAGTGAAACAAGTTAGAGATCGTCAATCATTAATCTGGCTAGTGGCTAGGAGGGATCATACCTAAGTGAGTTCTCAACCTGTAATTAGATTACCTTTAACCGTAGTTTGTTAGAGAAGTTATAGTTCTTCTATCTTTATCTGGTTTGCTAGATAATGAACTGAAGTTGAGTAATAGTAACTCTAGAGACCCGTGGATTCGATATTTATTGCTTGTACTACTATACTGTAGGGATGGCATATCAGACTGCGCGGCCAGGTACCTGCCCGAAAACCGGCTGGGCGGAGTAGTTCCTACCCGGCGTTGACGGGGAATTAACGGATTTGGGGAAACCCGTTATCCATGGATAACGGACGTCGGGCGGTGATGGAGTCCATGCTATCCGCCCCGAGCCCGCCCCGAGCCATAAAAACGACGTCGTATTATTCCCATATATATCAATCAGTTGAGCAGCTGGAGGTAAACCCTAATCCCTAATTGGAAACTCGCCGCTCTCTCAGTCTCTCACTCTCTCTTCTCTTCTCTGCTCTCAATCGGCAATCGCCGCTCAATCCATCGATTCGATTCCCCCGCGAAATTCTCTCCATCCAGGTTGTCAATCATTCATTATCCTCTTCATTCAGCAATCAAAGCCTAATATCCTCATCGATTTAGGCAAAGAACAACATGCAAAAGGAGAAGATGACTATTCCAATCTCCGGTTCGAGGTTATTGGGAGGATTTTTCGTCGATTATTGTTCCGATAATCCAGAACTCGAGATAAGTACCTTCCAATTCAATTCTTCTTCCTTGTTTCAGTTTCTTGCTTTAGTTTTAGGTTCGTTTAAATTAAATCGAGTCGATTGGTTCTTTCTAGGGCCCTTCAGTTTCATCTTCATCTGCACCTGAGACTGCATGCTCTGATACTCGAGGCAATCCCTAATCAGACTTCCTTAGTCAGTTAGTGTTTAGTAATTAGTAGTTTGTTGTATTGATTTTGACTCATTGGATTGTAATGTTTGTACTTTTGTTTGAGTTTTTTCAGTTTTGTATCAGGCATCAGTTCACCATCCACAACTCTGGACAATTGATCCCCTCTCTCCAGATTCTAGGTTAGTTAAGGAATTAAGGACATTTTACTTAATTTGGTTTGCATGTATTAGGCATTAGGGACTCGAGTTTCTGTTGATTGCTTGGGTCTACTCATGAATCATGTCTTGTTTAGTATAAGTGTCTCATCTGCATTTTACAATTGAATCTAAAAGACTATACATTTGAACCTAGAAATCTTATAGCTAAAGCCTAAAAAGTAACCAAGCAATCCTTTGATGTTTATACTCGTTTATCTCAATGTCAGATGGAAGGTGCACCTGAAAATGTTGTCAATGCTCCTGTTCCTCCACAACCTGCCCCTGTTGATCAAAACAACCAACCTGAACAAGTTGGTAATGGTAATGGTAACTTGGCTAATGAAAATGCTGAAGTGCTTGTTGAAGAATGCAAATTGACTTCTGATGTATGGCCTCATTACATTAGGGTTAAGATTAATGGGGTTATTAAAGCTAAGTGCAAGTACTGTCGAAAAAACCTTGGTGGTGATACTCTTAATGGAACCTTGCACCTTAGGACTCATGTGAAAACTTGTATCCAAAAAAAGATACATGATGGTGCTCAAAAAATTATATGCCCTAATTACAAAGCAACTGGAAAACCCCGATTATCTGCTACACAGTTCAACTCTGATGTGTCTAGGAAGGAGCTGAGCTCAATGATTTTGGTCCATGAGTACCCTCTTAGCTTGTTGAACCCTTGGGTTTCAAGCGTTTGTATTGTTCTTTGCAACCACAGTTTACTGTGCCTTGTAGAAATACTGTGAAGAAAGATATCTTGTCTTTGTATGGGGTTGAAAGGAGTAACTACCAAAAGGTTATTGATGGTAATTTGGGTAGAATTGCTGTGACCACTGATTTGTGGACTGGCCCAAACCAGAAGAGGGGTTATATGGCAGTCACAACTCACTTTATTGATAATACTTGGAAGCTTAGAAACTCAATGCTAAAGTTTTTGTATGTCCCTGCCCCTCATACGAGTGAGAGGCTTGCAAGAAAACTGTTTCAATGTCTTCTGAATTGGAACATTGATGGAAAGTTGTCTGCAATCACCTTGGAAAACTGCTCCACTAATGATTCAATGATTGCTCACCTTAAGAATAAACTTGTTTTGAATGACTTGTTGATGGATGGTAGACCGATTCATATGAGGTGTTCTGCTCATATACTGGACCTTATTGTGAAAGATGGTTTGGATGTGATAAAGGATGGAATCCATTTGATTAGGGAGAGTGTGGTGTATTGGACTTCCACAACTAAGAGGGTCCAGACTTTCAATGAAGCTGTTAAATAGCTTAAGTTGGTTGTTGGGAAAAAACTTGTGCTTGATTGTCCAACAAGGTGGAATTCTACCTATGATATGCTGCTCTCTATTGCTCTTCTGTACAAATATGTCTTTTTTTGTTTAAGACAGATGGATAGTCAATACACATCAGTTCCTACTAATGATCACTGGGATTTTGCTTCTATTGTTATTGATAAACTGCTCATGTTCAGTGAGATGACTGCATTATTTTCTGGTACCAAGTACCCCACTGCCAATCTATTTTTCTCTAAGGTCTGTGATCTGCGATTGAAATTGAGTGACTGGTGTGTTGATCTTAATCCTGTTATTTCTGCCATGGCTGGAAATATGTTGTTGAAATTCACAAAGTATTGGGATGATATACATCTTGTTCTGGCAGTTTCAGTGGTTATGGATCCTAGGTACAAAATGCATGTCATTGAGTATTATGCTGCTAAGTTTGGAAGCTCTGATACTTACTTGGTGGCTAAGGATCTAAAACAGCTGATTTGTGGTTTGATTAATGATTATCAAACCAAGGCTGAAAAGAAATCTGGTTCTTCTGCCAATGAACCGATTGGAAATGCAAATGCCTCTGTTTCAACAATTGATCTTGATTTCGAGTTGTTTGTAAGTCAGAGGAAAAAGAGCAAAACAACTCTGATTACTACTGAGTTGGACCATTATCTTGCTGAGGAACTTATTCCTCGTGATCCATCTGCTGAATTTGATCTCTTGATGTGGTGGAAGTTGAATGGCCTTAAGTATCCTACTTTGCAAGCAATTGCAAGGGACTTTTTGGCTATACCAATAACATCAGTTGCTTCCGAGAGTGCTTTCAGCTCTGGTGGGAGGTTGTTAGACCCCCACAGGAGCAGGCTCGACTATTCTACTGTGGAGGCTATGTTGTGCAGTCGCAGCTGGGTTAGGGAAGCCTGGCTAAGAGGTAACCTGCAATATACTTCGAGTTTAGTCTTAGTAGTAGCTTTTGGTTCATTTAAACAAGTGAGTTTGTTCTATTTCTGCAGAATCAGAGGCTGCTGCTGTTGTGGAGGCAATGGATGGACTGTTTACTGGGCTGTCAGTTCACGATTCAAGTGTAGAAGATTAGGAAAATGGGCGTAAGTTAGTTGGTTTTTAGTTTCTAGTTGGTAAGTTATGATTTATGAACTGCATAAGTGAACAAACTTTTTTTTTTATATTGATTGCAGTCCAGGAACTTCTGAATATGGATTCACCATTCTCCTTTGATGACTGATTATTGGAACCTCAGAAGAGAAGGTATATAATACATTCAAACTGACTTGTCTCCTTTATTGTAAGCTTGTATCTGTTCCTTCATATTTTTGTTTTCTTGCAGGGAATGAATGTCAATTGTCAATTTGTCATGTGCTGTTTGACTGCTTCTGTTCTTCAAATCTGGTTGCTGCCTTGCTGGTGCCTTTGAGAGTTTGGCTTACTGCCTTTGAGAGTTTGAGTTTGAGTGTGCCTTATCTGTTCCAAATTTGAACAATGGATTGGTGTGTGGCTTACTGCCTTTGAGAGTTTGAGTTGTTTACTTGTTTTTTCTTTGCTACTTATGACTATTAGACAGTTGATGAACAATTGAGGAACTCTTGAAAATTCAGAGTTCTGGGTGGTGGGTGGGTTGCAGCCGTACATGCTTTATGTTAAGCTGCTTTTGATGGTGCTCAACTTTGAATTTGAACCGAATTACATGTTTTTCCAGTTATTTTCTTGTTTGAATATGTTAATTATTTAGTGTTTCTAGCGGGTAACGGGGACCCGTGGTTTCCGCGAATCCGTTGCTTCACGGTGACGGTAGCAGTTTTGGCCCCGTTGAGTGGCTGGGGACGGGGTCGGGGAAACCCGACACTGCTATACTGCAGTCCCTTTCATTGGTTATGCTATACTGCAGTCCCTTTCATCGGTGATGGTATGAATCCGTCCCCGATCCGCTCCGTTGCCAACCCTACTATACTGCAGTCCCTTTCATCGGTTACACTTGGTCATTGTTAAGAATTGTGTCGTAGCGAGTCAAGAAGCTGAATTTTATTTTTAATCTTTGTAAAAATAATAGTATATTGTATGAATTAGAATGTAACCCGAAGGTTCTGTGCAAAAAAGAAAATTTGATGATTTAGGGATTTGAGAAGTCGAGAATAAT